AGGGCCTTTTAATTTTTTACCCCCTTGTGATAAGTGGAAATGAGGTGGATATTAAGGTTGTGCCGTTTTGCCTTTCGTCTTTCGCTTATTAAAAAATAGTTTCGGCTCTCTGTTTACATAACTTAGATTGGAAGGATCACTCAATTTTAATAATTTTTTACCTCTATCTCAAAATTTATGTCTTGCTCATTAAAATTCTGGCCTTTCCAAAAATTAATTCTATATACATAATACCACATATAGAGCAAGTGTTGAATTATTTCCTTTTTTACAATTTCATCTTTAAAAATTTTTTTTAATTTAAAAAAAAATTTTTTTAGTGGATATTTTTTAGATAAAATTTAAAATTTTCAAATTTTCTAAAAATACCTCTTCCTATTTGTATTTGATTCAATTCTTTAAATGCCCATTCCATATAGATTATATAATCCAACACAACTAAACTTTTCCAATCAGTTGTATTGTTTTCTCTTGGCGTAAAATTTATTTTGTACAAGTCTTTGATTAAATCCTCAGGATTTACTAAATATTTTGTTTATAAAAATTTGTAAATGTAAAATTTTTGGTTCGTATATCTTCTCCGAATATACGAAGATTTATAAGATAAACAGGGTAAGAGTTTAGACCTAGATGGAATTGATTTCGATTCGTCATAAAAATTTTCTTGAGTTTCGTACATGTATGGTTCGGACATCGGATCCCGATCAGGTTTTGGCGTCCATTTTTGGCGTTGCGTTTTGGCGTCCATTTTTGGCGTTGCATTTTGGAGTCCATTTTTGGCGTTGCGTTTTGGCGTTCATTTTTGGCGTTGCGTTTTGGCGTTCATTTTTGGCGTTGCGTTTTGGCGTCCATTTTTGGCGTTGCATTTTGGCTTTGCGTTTTGGCGTCCATTTTTGGCGTTGCATTTTGGCGTCCATTTTTGGCGTTGCATTTTGGCGTCCATTTTTGGCGTTCATTTTTGGCGTTGCGTTTTGGCGTCCATTTTTGGCGTTGCATTTTGGCGTTGCGTTTTGGCGTTGCATTTTGGCGTTGCGTTTTGGCGTTCATTTTTGGCGTTGCGTTTTGGCGTCCATTTTTGGCGTTGCATTTTGGCGTTGCGTTTTGGCGTTCATTTTTGGCGTTGCATTTTGGCGTTGCGTTTTGGCGTTCATTTTTGTAGATTTTGGCGTTCTGGTGTTTGGCGTGATTTAAAAATTTGACCTCGAAAAAGTTTACTTACTCAATTGATGAAAATTTTCTGAAAATCTTTCAGAAAGTATAGCAAATCTTTCTACTCCAAAAATACTTTTAAGTTTCCATCTCATGTGATACAATCCAACTTCATTATTCGTATTTATTTTGCTACTTAAATTTATTTTTTAAAAAATTTTTCTTTAATAAATTTTTAAAAAACCTAAGAAATTCCAAAAATTTTTTATTTTCCATAACCGAAAAATAAAATTCAATAAAGATTCCTTCTACAATCATGCCTTTTAAAATTTCATTTTTTTCGACAATATTATTTTCTTTATCACAATCAAAGCTAAACATTTGTTCATTGTCATTAGTTAAACTATTTATGTAAAATTTTAAATGAACAAAAATTTGAATAATATAGCAAAGTTGCGTATTATTTCTTTGTTCAGTGTGGTATAGTGCTGATTTGACTCTAAATTTAGCAAAAAAATAGATTTTTTTTATTAAAATTTGGGTGATTGATGGTATTTTGAAGTTAGGGTCTGCGCCTAATTTTCCAAAAGTTAGGAGTTGCTTCGGGAAACGTGAGAATATCTCACCCTAGGAGGTGCAAACTTTTGCCTAAAATTTTTCTGCGCGCCCGCCTTTAAGGGTGAGCACTAGAGACGAACAAAGGGTGGGCACTAGAAAATTTTTGATTATTTTTGTTCCTTATTTAATTCTCTATCATTTGATCCTTATTTGATCTCATTAGCTTTACTTTCAATAAAGTTATGCCAAAAATTGTGACCGGTTACTTTTGGGTCACTTGTGGGTAATTTCAACTTTTTGCTGGAATAGGTAATTAATTAGGCGAGGGAGCAATCATCTGATAGGAGGGGGGGGGGGTAATTATTCGAGCATATATGTTTGTAAAAAATGGTAAAAATGAAGGATTTCGGACTTCCTGGCCTTCCAAAATCCTCAAAATTTTTGCCTGCGGCGCTAAAAATGAAAGAAATTTGGCTTCTTGGCCTTCCAAAAATCTCAAAATTTTCGCCTTATTTGAAATTTTATTATGTTTAAGCTTTTAAAGCTATGTCCTAATTTTTGCCTTAATTTCTTCTCTATTTTTGCCCTATTTTTACCCTATTTTAGAGTGGCTGCGCCCTATTTTAGTGTTTTGGAAGGGGCCACCCTGATAGGTTTGTAAAAATTAAGTTTTAACAGACCCATTAAAATATTGTAATAAAGTCGCTCCTCCGAAAAAACTTTTCTCTTCCAATTTATCTTTTATTTCAGCTTTATATCTCTCTATTAATCTTTCATTTATAGAGAGATATGTAGCTATTGCTATTTTTAATTTAATTTTTTTCAAATCTTTTTCTGTGCCAGCTGATAAATATTCTTTGTAATACTCAGCTAACACTTGGTTTTTGTATTCTATCGACGATGGATTTAGAAAAAAAGCATTCTCACCGCCAATAGTATTTTGAATGGCCAAATTTTTCATCCCTAAGTTATTTTATAAAAAATTTTTGTGAATAAGTGTTGCAATAAACCAAGATAATACTTTGGTTTAGAGCCCGGACGGAGGGCTCGGTCTATCGAAAAATATCGAAATCGAAAAATATCGAATAAAAAGTCTCGATAATTTTGATTTTTCACAAACTTAACTATACCCAATGAATAACAGAATAGACCTAATATTTTAATGAGATTAAGATTAATTAAATGGATATTGGTGAATTTAATCGGATTAAATGTAATATCAATGGACTTGTATTTGATATCGAAGGATCAAGTGGGATATAAGTGGATTTTAACTAGGGATAATGGTGCCTTTTTGAAAAGCCTGGACTTGTTCCACTTGTTCCTGGTGTTGATTTATTGACCTGGGCCGGATCCTCGGCCTGTAGTCCAGGAAAAGCCTAGGAAGGTCAAAATGCCTGGGCCTGGACTCTTTGGATTAACCAAAGCCTGGAAAAACAAGGCCTGGAAAAACCCAGGTCTTGGTCCAGGTCCAGCTCGATCTCTAGTGTCTACACACAATTTTTATAAATCCATTTTTATAAAAATTTCAAAAAAAGTTTCCTAACGTTTCCCAAGATTCCAAAAATTTTTCATTGCCATTGAAGCTGAAAAAAGTAATAAAAAAATAATTATTTGACATTTCATTCTCAATCAAATTAATTAATTTTTTAAATTTGTCTAAAATTTGTTAAAATAATTTTTAAAGACTAGCAAATAATTTAAAAATATTTTTTAGTTAACAAGAATATTCGTTAAAAATAATTTTTAAACAAAAAAAATAAAAAAAAATTTTTAAAGGCCCTAAATGAGGACCTTCATATGTTTAATAAAAAACGCTCGCGAATTTCGACAGAAAAGAGAGAGAGGACTCGCGCGCGATTTTGCCTCTCCTTTCGAAGAGGCATTAATTGCCTCTCCTTTTGAATATTATTATTGCCTCTCCTTTTGGCAATTAAATTTGCCTCTCCTTTTACTAAACATTGCTTTATTATAAGTAATTAACATGTAAGATGGTAAGCGGGGAGGAAGAAAAGTCCACGTTTACCTGCCCTTTTTAATTATTCAATAATATTAATTTTTAAAATTAAAAAGACAAATTATTGCCTGTAAAAATGTCAAACGACTTCTTGACAGCGGAAATTCAAAATCCTGTGATGTGTTGTCTTTTATGTTTTTACAGTTGTTATTAGTGATAATTATTTGGGTTGAGAAAGAGCTCAGCAAAATTTCAGCCACCGGGCAGGATTCGAACCTCCTACCTCCTCGTAATTTTTGCTCACCACATACAGGAGCTCGACCACTGAGCTACGGGGACAACGACTTATGCTTTCTCTTTTATCCTTTTAGATCGTTTGACTCCTGCCTAAGCGTTCAACTGCGCTGAAGTGAATCATCCTTACAGTTGTTCGCTACCGGTTATTAACCGGCACCCCTGGTTTTCGGTTAATCCAAATTTTAAAAACCCGGTTTGCGGTTTTGAGTTTTATACAAACAACGTTTTTATTTTGTGGGAATTTTTAAAGAAATCACTCGTTTTCATAAATTTCCGGTTTTCGATTTTTAAATTTTAATAAAAGTGATTAATTTCAAAAATTCCGGTTTTAAAACCGGTCGTAGACAACTCATGTACAGATAGGTGTAAAAATTTTTCTTAATTTAGATTCTAGAACGGCACAATTCAGAGGGTCACATCAACATCACCTTGAAGGAATACACAAAAAAGGAAGATGAAAAAGAAAAATGCCAAAAATTTTTTATTTTACTCTTGAAATACCTGATTTTTATTTCTTTTTTTTCTCTTTGTGCCTAAATATTTTTTTTAATAATTCTAAATTTTTTTCCAATAAATTTTAAATATTTAAAAAAAGTGAATGACAAAATAACTGTTTGATTAGCTTTTTGCGTTTTTTTTGATGATGTGTACCTCCCAAAGCCTTTATTGTCTTTCCCGTTCAATTCCAAGGCAAAAAAGCTTTAATTCCATCATCATAATTAAAGCACTCTCCCTTTTATTCTCTCCCTTTCATTCTCTGCCGCATTAATAAAAATTAATTTTAGAGGGATTTTAGAGGGGTAGGTGTGATTGTATATTTGTGGCTTTTATTGTCTTCAATTTTAGAAAGCTAAAAATTTTTTTTTTCATTTAAAACCTTTTTTTAGTTTATAATCGAAGAAAAAAAAATTTTAAAATTACTTGAACTTTTTTTGTGTTTTGTTTTTAAATAAACTTTTACAGCTCTTTAAACCAACCGATTTTCTTGTGCGTTCAAAAAGCTCGCAAACTGTCTTTAATTTTAATTAAGCAATTCAAGTTAAAGATGAAGCATGAAATATTTTTTAAATTATTCGTATTAATTTTAACTTCAATTTTGGTTGAAAACAAGCAAAATAAGCAATTATTAAAGGATAAATCCAATTTTATTTTTTTAACATTTTCTAATGATTCTGACAGTAATTTGGAAGTAAATCTGGTTTTGGGAGAGAAGGATTTACATAAAAGTAAGATGATTTTTTGCCAAAATTTTTGGCGAGATTTTGGTGTTATTGAATAGAGAATTTAATAAACTACTAAAAATTTTTTAAATCCGAATTTTAAATTAATTACCAAAAAAATATGGAATAAAATGTGCTAAAATGTCGATTTTTTGACACTTTTTAGAACCATAATTTTATTTCCAAATTATTCAAAATTCTGATTTTTCTCTATTTTGTAGAGAATTTAATTCTCTATCGAATGATACCAAAAGAATTTTAAAATCTCAATTTTTCAATGAGTTATGGGAAAAATAGTGAGCCCATGTTTAATCTTAAAAGAATTTTTTCAATTAAATTATTAATTATTAACTTTCAAATTTTTTAAAGAACAATTAATCTTAACATCTAAACACCATAAAAGTGAATCAGAAACGGCCAAAGTGACTGTAAATTATACAGTGAGAAAGGAATCGTCTCCTATAGGCCTTTTTGGCACCTCAAGTCTTTTTTCCTCAGCTGCGACTGAATTGCCTTTGGTTAAAGCAAAAACTATAAAATTATCTGAGAGTGTTGGAAATGTTGGTGAGGAAATAAAAATAAAAATTTAATTAAATTAAAATTGTTTTTTGAAGAATATAAAATTGATAAAGTAACTCAAGGCTTTGTAAAAACACACCATCTTTTCCCTAAGGGGCACAAAAAATATCAAATGAAAGTTTGTATTTTTGGCGATTTTGCTCAAAATTTATATGAGGATGCTGATTTGAATCTTAGCGATATTATAGAGAACGAAAACTGTCAATTAGCTCTTTTTATTGGTAAGTTAAGAATTTAATAAGTAGGAGGAGTAGGAGAACATGGGTTAGTTTAAGCCTGATATCTCTTGAATGGATGAAACGCTTTAGTTACTTTTGGCATCATTCGATAGAGAATTGAATTTGCTACAAAACAAAAAAGAAATTAAAATTTTAGTCAGCTTGGCAAAAAAGTTATGTACGAAAACCCTTCAAAAATTTAGATTTTTCATCAAAAATCCTGATTTTTCACACATAACATTTTTTTCTTTCAACAATAAAATCTAATTTTGTAGTATTTTATAGCAAATTTAATCCTCTATCGGATGATACTAAAAGCTTCCCTAACCCCTCATCCATCCCTGAGTTCTGAGTTAAAGATTCAACTGCTCTTTAAGGTAAAATCGCTTGGGAACGCCAAGTAAAATCTCAACAACCAAGCTTTGCATTTTCTCCCTATGTGATGTTACATAGCAAAACTAATCCTTTAAAATATTCTGCATTCAGCAAAGTTCCTTCAATTTTTGGAAAAGTTGGTGGAGGCATGACAGAAACAAGTTACTTTCAATGGCAAGTTTTAATTTTTCTAAAATACGAGCTTTTTAAACCCTCACATTTTCTTGATGTTTTGAAAAGCTGTAAATTTCCCTTAAAGTACCCGAGTTGGAGATGTTGCTTTTATTCAAATAACGGTAGAAATAGCTACGGTAGCTGATTTACCTGATGGAAGCAAAGCTTTTGAAATGATTGGGCATTATTTTAGAGAAACTATGCTTAATGAATTGGAATGTAAATTACAGGTAATTTAAAGGGACTTAATTCTTTAACGATAATTTTTGCTTAAAAAGGAGCTACATCAAATAGAAAAACGTCCATGGATTGCGTATGCAATTTTAAAAAGTTAAAATAATTTTTAAAAATAATTTAAAGTTTATTTATGACACATCCCTTTTTGGTAAGCAATGATGAGAACAAGGTTCAGTGGTTTGTAATGAATGACACTCATCGCTTCTTCGATATTTTAAAACGTTACAAGGTTAAGATTGAAGATTTTTAATTAAAATTCGACGTTTCGAATCGGGCGTTTTGAAATTTGGCATTTCAAGGCTGGGCATTTTAAAAGGGAGCAGGCCAAGGTACCGCGAGCCAGAGGTACCGCCAAACTATATCTTCTTCAAAATTGTCGAATCCGGGACGACTTGGTATGGTTCGATTCAACTCGTCGAGATGCATCGAACTATACCAGGGCGTCCCGGATTCGACAATTTTGAACAAAGTTATAGCTTGGCGGTATATTGGGCTCGCGGTACCTTGGAGTGTACCCATTTCAAAACTTGGTAGTTCAAATCTTGGCGTTTCAAGGAGGGTTACCAACAGAAATTTTATAAAAACAATTATAGGTCGATTTGCTAACAAGCTGTGGGATTGAGGGAATGTCTAGAATGTTGCAAGCTGCCCGTAAAAGAATGCCAGACGCCAAACTACCAGAATATATACAAACAACAATGGCGCAATGTGGGGGATATCAGTCTGTAGATGTTACTTTACAGAATGAATGTACATTTGCTACGTTAAATATATCACCCAAACAAATTGAATTTAAAAAGAAATATGCTGAAGGAAAAGAAGCGGGCAAAGTGGCTATTGAAGGGAAAATACAACGAACTTTCGTAAAAAAATTTTTATATTGAAATTTATTAGAGAGGGGGAGGGGGTATACGGGATTAGGAGGTGAAATATTATTTTCTATTGGTGAGCATAAGGGAAAAATAGGGTAGTTTCATCATTTCGAGAGCCCATTACATCAAAAGTCATTGAAGGGAGAAAGTCTGAAACCGGTGAAAAGATTCTGTATTTCGAGAGGTTTATTAAATTGAGGTTAATTACCGTATTTCCTTTAATTGAATACCTAGACATTCTATTTTCCAATCATCATCCAAAGGGGCATTCTACTAGAAGAGGGAATCAATGAAGAGGGGCATCAATAGGAAGACTTCCAGCAGAAACACGAAAAATTATTTTAAAATTAAAATTAATTCAACTTTAAATTTAGGAAGAAGCAGACCGTTGTGTTCCAGACGAACTTTGATATTTTTTTATACAAAAAACATTTGCTTCATTTTTATTTCTCTTTTTTAAGAAGCTTTTCCTTACCTTTTTGCTTTAACTTTTTTTCCTTTTCTTTATTAACTGGTCATTTAATCGATTATAAAATACTTCAATAAATTTGTACAACTCTTGCTTAAATAAAAAAAATTCTCCCAAAATCCCTCTAAATTTACCCAAAAATGCTGACATTATTTTTATTTTTCCTTCTCCTTATCCCCTTGCTAATTTCTTCTGTCGACCGTACAATTGACCATTTTGAGACCAATTTGGATCGGTTTGCTAAAGGACCCCCTTCACATATTAAACCTTCGCGGATTATTCTTCCAGCAAATTTTATGGAAAAATTAATAAATAATGGAGGGATTCAGTTAAAAAAACAGGGAAATTTTGAACGAAATTTTAATGAGAATACAAATAAATTAAATAGTAACCAGTTAAATCAACCGACTACACGAATTTTAACAAACCCAAAAATTCCAGTTGACAAAACTTTATTAAATAAAAATAAAGAAAAAGAGGAGAATGCTTATTTGTCTCAAGTTAACCAGTTAATTCCTTCAATCCCTTCAATTAACACAGGAGAAGATCCCCGACCTTTCCTAGAAGGAGAAAGATTAGGGCAACAAGGAAAATTCGGTGGACCAACAAATCAATACAAAGAAGACTGGGGACATAAATATACCCAAAAAGAGAATAGAGAAATAAGTGGACAAGTTCCGAATTTTGTTTCAAGCTTCGGAAGCTCTCAGCAGCCCTCAAAAATAGAAAAAGGTTGGTAGTGAATTTTTTGGTGTAGTGGGATAATGTTTGGCTTACACTTAAAAGGGATTGTGGGTTCGAACCCTTTTGGTGGTAAACATTTTTTAAATTAAACAAATTAAACTTTTTTTTGGTTTAAATTTAATAATAATGCCTAGAAAAATTTTTAAAAATTAATTTTTCGCTCTAAAAATGCTAAAAAGCTTTAAAAAATTTAATTTTTCACAGATATCAACCCTAATCTAGACGGATCTAAAGTATTTATTGACAACAACAAAAATTCTAAAAATACTGGTCTCACAACTGGACGAATGTCTCCCTATTTAAACGCACCAGAAGAAATAACAGGAAGTAGATGGCGAAGTTTTGATGAATATTTTAATAATTTAAATAAAGGGAATAGAGGAAGAGGGCCTAATAGATATGTTAAAATTGATTTATTGAATGAATAAAAAATATGATTTATGAGAATAAAATTATAAAAAAAAGTTCGGAGTAATCACTTCACTATGTCCAGAAAATGTTTAAAATCCTGGTAAAAACTTCATTTTAACGTCATGTTATTTTAACATTATTCGTTGACCTCCCTTCAAATTCTCGAAATTAAAGTTTTAGCGGACAGCCAAGTTTAATTCCAGTAGTACGGACACATTCCCAACTTCTCAATAATACTTCAAACTGCAGCCAATGTCACTAAATTTATAAACATATTCATGAAAGATAACAAATCATAATCAGACCTGCAATTACGTATTCCAATGCTCCAAGCCCAAAATACCCTTTAGCTCCACCAAAATTAGTAATACGAAAAAATGTCATTTTTATTTTTCTTTAAAATCCTATTAATTAAAAATTAAAATAAATAAAAATATATAATGTCTAAAAGACACAGACTGGACAACAAAAAATGTTTTTATAAAAATATTTATACAAAAAAACATAGCCACAGAAGCACAAGAAGTCAAAAAAACCTTTTTTCAATTCATTTCCTTTCCTGTCCATTCAATTCTTTATTAAATTTCCTCCTCCAACTGTCCAACCATCTTGGAGGTGTTTTTCTCTTTTCTTTTTCTTCTTCAGAAATTATTTTTAAATCTCTTCCTAAATTAGCTCCAATTTTACTAAAAGCTCTATAATCATCTCCATAATCTGCATGTTTAAATAATTGATCCATTTCCTTAATTTTGATTGAAAAAAATTTTTTATGAAAAAAGTAAACCTGCAAGACTAGATGTTGACGATCTTCAATAAATTTAAATTGAGGTATAAATGTGCTATAAAACTGAAAAAAATAAAATTATCAGAGTCCTCAATAGGATTGTGAGTTTAAAAATGAAAAGAAAATTCGAGGTTTCAATACAGAAAAACTCAAATTTCTGACAGGCCAATTTAAAATTTTAATGTGAGTGGAACTAACTGAAAATCCTAATCCCCACAGGCTTTACAAGGTTATTTATTCAACTATAAAATTGATTTTGTACTTTTTTGGAATCATTCGATAGAACATAGTGTGTAACAATTGCCAGTTTTTGAAATTTGGATCCAGAATCATTTTCGGGTCGGATTTAAAGAATAACTATCTTAAAATGTATTCAGAACCAAAAAACTGAAAAATGTTTGAAAAAATTGTTCTTGGCTATGCTATATCGAATGATACCAAAAAATACAAAATTAATCACAATTCGGGAGTAAGTGAAAGTAACAATCCTATGAGGGTCTTATTGTTAGTCTAAACCAAGGTCGGGTCGGATTACCCGAAACCCAGTCTTTTTCGACCCGACTTTTTTTCTCAACCCGCCCCATCCCGTCTAAACCAAAATTTTTTATTCAAAAAACCTCACAATTTCTGACATATCCTTCCGTAATTTTTCAGAATATTCATCCAATAAGTTTCTCGTTTCCTAAAAAAATTAAAAAATCAATTTTTTAGTAAAAAACCTCGTCTTTTTCAACATCCCCAGTACATTTCCAAAATACCCTAATTTCATTCATTAAATGGGGAAGTTCAAGTTTAGTTATCAAAACATTTTCAAGCCCGTCTTCTTCACAGATAATACTTGGCAAAACACTCATATAAATTTTTGTCAGTTGTTCTCGTTTTTTGGGATCCAAAAATCGGTTTTTTGTGCCAAATCTTTCCAATACTAATTTCTAAAATAATTAATTTAAAAAATATTTAAAAAATTAAATTAAGGGAAACAAAAATTAGGAAGGACATATTAACTAAAAGTGGAAATCAGAGGGGGCCAGAACAGTCAGTTGTCGGAAATGGTCCCTAAAAAAATGAGGAAAAAGTGCTAGTTAGACATTTTTGAGGCATGCCAGTAGGTAATCGAATGTGCTGAGTCCGAATCTGAGCTTAGAATTTGTTTATTTCGAACCCCGGACCCGAATTCGACCAAGTCGAATTATGGGTAAAAATCCGAAATTAAAAATTTATGGCGTAATCGACTATGATGATCACGAATCTGATATCAGATTTTGTCAAATATCGACTCAGCTCGTCGAGTTCTTTCGAATGAGCTATTATTTGGATTTTCGAATTTTTTGACGCCAAAAATTTTCAAATTTCGGGGGTCTCTACCTCGGCCCTATGTAGTCGGATCGCAGTGATTTTGGAGGCATTCGACTCAGCTCGAATAGGCGCGTCAGATTAGCCCTAAATTTTTAATTTCGAATTTTTACCCATAATTCGACTTGGTCGAAACCGGGTCCGGGGTTCGAAATAAACAAATTCTAAGCTCAGATTCGGACTCAGCACACTCGATTACCTACTGGCAAACCTCAAAAATATCAAAAAAGCACTTCTTCCACATTTTTTTTCGGGACCAGTAATCTTTACATTTACCCCAAAAAGTCAAAAATTGTCTAGTTTCACTATCCAGCCTTCAGTAGTAAATAACAAAGGGGGACTAGTCATTTTTTGGGCTTTCTTAGCCTTCCCGGGCCAGTTTTTATCCACTTATCTTTCTACTAAAAACGATATTTGGGTCGATTTCCTATTTTTTATGTGATACTTTTTCGTTAGGCAAGAGCCAGAGGGAAAAAAAGGTGTAAATTTCCTACACACAAAAATAAAACAAATAATTTTTGTGAGGACAAAACTACTAAAAAAATTTTTTTAAGAAAACCACCCCAGAATTAAACCCGTTAAAATAAAAAAACCGTAGATTCCAAGGAATAAAACCCAAAATCTTGTAAATATGTTTTTGTAAAAGTTCTTTCCATTTTACGTCGAAGCAAATGAAATCTTGTTTGTTTAATTTCATATCCTCCAGTTCTATTAGTCCCTGAAGAGCGATAATGAACTTGGCAGGCAATCAATTTTAGAGGGTGAAAATTTGTTGACAATAATTGTTGTTGATGTTTAAATGGTTGAAACATATAAAAATTTCAAAAAAAAATTTTTCTAAAATCAAAAAAAAATTTTTTTTGAAAGTAAATACTGCGTAAAATAAGGATAGTTTAGAGAAAAAGGTTAAAAAACGTTTCGCCAAAAACACGCAATTTTAAATTATTTTAATTTCTTGGCCTAAATTTTCGATCGATTTGTAAAATTTCAATGTTTTTATTACCGCCAACATGTTCTTGATCACTTTTAAAATTCAGTATTTACCATCTGAAACGTAGGGAAACTTGTCTTCACATCATATTATGAAAATTTTTACTTTTGATTAGGAATAAAATTTTTTTTATTTTTCTTCCGCTTCCGCCTTCCGCAGAATTCCGCTTTTTTGGCCCTTCCGCCTTTCGTCTGCCGCTTTTTTATTATATTTCGCTTTCTTCCGCTTCCGCTTTTTAAAATTCTAAATTCACCAGCACTGCTGTACAGGAACTAGGAAGGGCCCTGTCCTGTGGCGCTGTAAGGGGAGTATCCGCCACATTAGTTCTAGAATTATTTTAAAAGACAGCTAAAAAGACCACTGGCTTCTTAACAGTCACTAATATGTACGGAGATTGCGGAAATTTTGCGGATATAGCATCATATCTGTATCCGCCCGTATCCGCGGATATCCGAGAGTTTGCATCTTCAATGATAAATTATTGCGCAATAATTAAATTTTTTACAGCATCAGCCATTAATCGATAACTCAAGGCAATCGGCAAGCAATCGCCAATTCAAGGAAGTTGACAGGCAATCGACAATTCGAGGCAGTTGACAGGCATAAGCTAACTCACAGGCAATGACAACTCAAGGCAATCGCCAATTCAAAGTAAATCGACAGGCAATCGACAATTCGAGGCAGTTGACAGGCATACGCTAACTCACAGGCAATGACAACTCAAGGCAATCGCCAATTCAAAGTAAATCGACAGGCAATCGACAATTCGAGGCAGATGACAGGCATTCGCTAACTCGCAGGCAATGACAGCTCAGGCAATCGCCAATTCAAAGTAAATCGACAGGCAATCGACAATTCGAGGCAGTTGACAGGCAATCGACAATTCGAGGCAGTTGACAGGCATAAGCTAACTCACAGGCAATGACAACTCAAGGCAATCGCCAATTCAAAGTAAATCGACAGGCAATCGACAATTCGAGGCAGTTGACAGGCATTCGACAATTCGAGGCAGTTGACAGGCATACGCTAACTCACAGGCAATGACAACTCAAGGCAATCGCCAATTCAAAGTAAATCGACAGGCAATCGACAATTCGAGGCAGTTGACAGGCATAAGCTAACTCACAGGCAATGACAACTCAAGGCAATCGCCAATTCAAAGTAAATCGACAGGCAATCGACAATTCGAGGCAGATGACAGGCATTCGCTAACTCGCAGGCAATGACAGCTCAGGCAATCGCCAATTCAAAGTAAATCGACAGGCAATCGACAATTCGAGGCAGTTGACAGGCATAAGCTAACTCACAGGCAATGACAACTCAAGGCAATCGCCAATTCAAAGTAAATCGACAGGCAATCGACAATTCGAGGCAGTTGACAGGCAATCGACAATTCGAGGCAGTTGACAGGCATACGCTAACTCACAGGCAATGACAACTCAAGGCAATCGCCAATTCAAAGTAAATCGACAGGCAATCGACAATTCGAGGCAGTTGACAGGCAATCGACAATTCGAGGCAGTTGACAGGCATAAGCTAACTCACAGGCAATGACAACTCAAGGCAATCGCCAATTCAAAGTAAATCGACAGGCAATCGACAATTCGAGGCAGTTGACAGGCATACGCTAACTCACAGGCAATGACAACTCAAGGCAATCGCCAATTCAAAGTAATCGGCAGGCAATCGACAATTCGAGGCAGATGACAGGCATTCGCTAACTCGCAGGCAATGACAGCTCAAGACAATCGCCAATTCAAAGTAATCGGCAGGCAATCGACAATTCGAGGCAGTTGACAGGCATTCGCTAACTCACAAGGCAATCGAAGGCAGTCTCGCAAGGCAATCGAAGGCAGTCTTGCGATAAAAGAAATAGCATTATAAGAGAGAAAAATCGCACGCAACCTTCACCTATATCGCCAGGCGCGTGCGTTT